TGTGACAATCACAATTAACATTTTTCTCAATATGGAATGCTCAAGATTCAAGAATTCATTTATTGAATCTACCAGTGGCAAGCACTAATGCTAGGTACTTTCATATAGTTTGTTTACTTTCCAAAACAACCCTGTTAGATAAGTAGACTATCACTACAGCACTTTACAGATGAGGAAATTGGGGCCCAAAAGGCCAAACTTTTAGTCCAAACATTTCCAAGGCCAAAATGCTAGTCAATGGCTACGCTGGAATTCAAATCTCTTGAATAGCACACTACACCTCAATTTACTCTTGCTTTTCACATGTTCAGTTACTTCACCAAATTCAACTGGGTCTTAGAAGACATGGTAATCATTAAAAGGTCTGACTTCATGCAACCTCGCAATGGAAGCTTGAACACAAATACAGTATATGACCAAAGGCAAAAAGTGATTTTAAAAATCACACATAAAATTTTTAAAAGAATGAATCTATTTTTTAAATGTTTACTGAGTATCCTCTGGGTCAAGACATCATACCAGGCACTGGAAGTACCGGTAAGAATAGTACTGACCTATCTCTACTGTCTTAAAGTTCACAGTCTATGAAAAGGATAAATGTGATAAAGGAACTGCGATACAGCACAAAAAGAGCCAAAAAGAAAAGAGATGAAACAATCCTCTGGAGTTGAGTTTTGAAAGATAAGCAGCAATCTTGCCACAATGGGGTGAGGGTGGGATTCAATACTGCAAAGGAAGAAACAGAATGTTCAAAAGCACAGAGGCCTAAGATGGGATAGCATACTACAGGAGCTCTTAAGTAATACAAAAAGATAGAGATTAAAGGGGATGTGAAGGTGGAATTTACAGGCTTTTAAGCAAGGGAGTAACGATCAAATCCTCACTTTTAGGAATCATTCTGGCAGCAGTGTAAGATGAACCCGAAGCAGAGATACAGTTAGGAGACTATTCTAATAGTCCAGGCAAGTGATGCGATCCTACACTTAAGAGAGTAACAGTGAAGATGGAGTGTTCACAACAGGAAACGAGATGAAGGAGCTTGAATCAAAAATTCCAAATGTCTAGCAAAGCGTAGTATGGTGTTA